TATATATATATATGTATGTGTGTGTGTGTGTGTGTGTGTGTGTGTGTGTGTGTGTATATATATATATATATATATATATATATATATATATATGTGTATATGTGTATATGTATGTGTATATATATATATATATATATATATGTATATGTATGTGTATGTGTGTGTGGCCTAAAATTACTTATGTTTTGGAAAAAACCTTATGAAATGTGTATTTATTGCTTAATTTCTTGCATCTCCCTGTGAAAACGCACATTTTGCAAAACTTTTCCATTTTAGGAACCTTTGGACTCGCAAAATGGAGGAATGTTTTAAAGACGATAGTATAAAATGAACAGATTTATAATATACTTTATTTATTAAAATTAATACCATGTTTTTTCATTGTAAAATGATTTGTTATGCACTTCTTATGCACTGAATACATTTAGAATGTATGTATGTATGTATGTAGCTTGTTTTAAAAAGCAAAAATAGTTGGCAAAATAGCAAATAAAATTGCAATATTCGTTTAAAAAATCGCAATATGATTATTTTGTCCATATTGCACAGCCCTAGTATGTAGACATGGTCAAGACAATCTGCTGTAGTTCAAATCGAGCATAAGAATGGGGAAGAAAGGTGATTTAAGTGACTTTAAACGTGCCATAATTGTTTGTGTCAGATGGGCTGGTCTGAATATTTCAGAAACTGCTGATCTACTGGGATTTTCACGTAGAACCTTCTTTAGGGTTTACAGAGAATAGCCTGAAAAAGAGAAAATATCCAGTGAGAGGCAGTTCTGTGGGCGCAAATGCCTTGTTGATGTCAGAGGTCAGAGGAGAATGACCAGACTGGATCTAGCTGATAGAAAGGCAACAGTAACTCAAATAACCACTCGTTACAACCGAGGTTTGGAGAAGAGCATCTCTGAACACACAACCAGTCCAACATTGAGGCGGATGGGCCACAGCAGCATAAGACCACACCGAGTGTCACTCCTGTCAGCTAAGAACATGAAACTGAGGCTACAATTTGCACAGGCTCATCAAAATTGGACCATATAAGATTGGAGAAACGTTGCCTGGTCTGATGAGTCTCGATTTTTGCTGTGACATTTAGATGGTAGGCTCAAAATTTGGCATAAACAACATGAAAGCATGGGTCCATCCTGCCTTGTATTAACGGTTCAGGCTGGTGGTGGTGGTGTAATGATGTGGGCGATATTTTGGGCACACTTTGGGCCCATTAGTACCAATTGGGCATTGTGTCAACGCCACAGCCTACCTTAATATTTTTGTTGACCATGTCCATACCTTTATGGCCACATGTTCTGATGGCTACTTTCATCAGGATAACCCACCATGTCATAAAGCCTGAATCATCTCAGACTAGTTTCTTGAACATTACAATGAGTTCACTGTCCTCAAATGGCCTCCATGGTCACCAATAAAGCACCTTTGGGATGTGGTGGAATAGGAGATTTGCATCATGAATGTGCAGCTGACATATCTGCAGCAACAGTGTGAAGCTATCATTTCAGTATGGACCAAAATCTCTATGGAATATTTTCAGTACCTTGTTGAATCTATACAATGTAGAATTAGGCAGATTTAAAGGCAAAATTGGGTACCAGCCTGGTACTAGTAAGGTGCACCTAATAAAGTGTACATGAAGGCAGATGGGTCTAATGTACTGTATACCCATATTAAGCATTTTCTTTATTAAGGTTTTCTATAGGAAAACACTGATTGTGCAATTTAGCCAGTCATGTTTATATTCTGGGCAAATCTGTTTGCTTATGTGTAATTATTATAATCAATGCGATGTATATGGATGTTGGTCTTTTGAGTATCACTATCTAACTAAACTAGTATTGTGTACAAACTTGATCAAATTAATATAGGTCAGTGGAGCACAGGCTTATTTTGCCCTCCAGATGAGCATTCATATGTGTGAGAAACTATGCATATGTTTGTGCATATGATGAATCGCAGAGATACTGGGTTCCACCGGTGCAGGCATTGACCCAACAGATCTGAAGTAGCCTGAACATAAACTTATTTATAGCCTAACCACTGTAATTCAGATTAAGACAAAAACATGGTGCGGAAGATTTAACTGGCTCATTAAAATAGTATTTAATTAATTCTATTCAAAAAAAGTTGCATACTGCTTCTTTATGCAAAATAATTAGGTCAGATTGGCAATTAGTTACCTAAATCTTCATTCTTTACTTTTGTGCAGATAATGCTGTGTGAGCTGGTGAAAAAAAGCTTTCCTGAGTTACCAGTGATCTATCCTGATGCTGATATCAATGATTATATGGTGAGTACAACTATTGTTAGTACATACTAGGGTTGCAACAAAACTGTTAGCTCACGGTTCAATACATACGTAGATTTTTTTAACATGGTTTTCGGTTCGGTTTTCTTGGCTTGATACCTGTTTTTTTTTTTTTATTCTATAAGCAATAGGATTAAGGAGAAGGGGTTAAGGAGAAAAGAATAAAAACAATTTATTGCAATACTCATTTTGTTTTACTTAAAAGCCAAGAAAAGCACACTAGTTCCTAGTGTATTGTGTAAAAAAAAATTACCACTGAAATCTCACAGCTGATGGTAGCCCATGCACCAACAGGTGAACACACAAAATCCAACAATTTGAAAATAAACATACATGTGAAGTTAATAAAGATAAATTGTCCATTTCAAATAATCATATTTGTACTTAAGTAAACATAAATAAATCATCTTAATTATCTCGGTGCTGACAAAATGCGGAACTGTAGTCTGTAACGCAGATCGAGTGCTTTTATAAAATGACAAAAGCCTGCATTTCCAATCACTGAAAACGGCTGCAAATCATTAGCAATTAGGACTCACACTGCCTTTGTTATTTTTATGTGTCTCTCGGAACCAGTTGGGTATGTCTGCTTGAAAGATTCAGCGAGGGATTGTTGCTATTTGGAGGACTTTATTACCTTCTCTGCTATCCTGCCTTCAGACAGTGATATTTCTTGGTGATGGCACTGCAGATGTGCAGTCATGGTTATATGTGTAAAACAATGCTTGCACACAGTTATTTTTTGTTCACCATTTTTTCTTTTATTGGCATTATGCTTGCCAGCAAAATCGAAATGTCCTCACAGCGCAGATTTGAAAGACTCCGGAAAGACTGTTAATAGCTCAAAAAATGTGTTTTAGTGTTTCGTGACCCTTTAAAGTTTCATTAATTGTCATAAAAGTGTCTTAAAAAGTCTTAAATTTGACTTGATGAAGCTTGCAGAAACCCTGGCATTAGGACAGAGATATTTGTTTTTTATTTTACTACATGTGTTTGCTTTCAGAGCTCTGCAGGGCTGTTAGTGAAGAGCTTGGACAGAGACATGTTTGACGCAGAGCCGATGAAAGAGCTGAGCGGAAAGAGACCTCTTCTTAGTACAGATTTCCAGGGGCAGAAGGTGGTCCTGAAGGTCAGAGATATTGCATATAATCTTAATTTGCTTCACTTAAGTTTATGTATGGTTTACTTAATATATATTATAGCTATATTGTCATTTTCAAAACAAACTATTTAGAATATTGACGTTAATACATATATGATTTAAAGAGCTGTTCAGGGGTTTATTGTTAGTTGGGTTTTTTAATGCTTTTAAAAGATGTTTCACCAATGGTACATTTTATTAGATTTATGTAATATGGTGTATATTAATATACATATACTGAAGTGTTATTATAATTTAAAATAAATTTTATTGTCTGATTAATTTTATGAATTATTCAAGTCTTAAGCAACACGTTATCTTTTAAAACTCTTTATAATATGCTGATTTGGTGTGTGTGTGTGTGTATGTGCGTGTGTGCGTGCGTGTGTGCATGTGTGCGTGCGTGCGTGCGCACCAAAAGTTTGGACACACCTTCTCATTCAAAGAGTTTTCTATGACTAAGAAAATTGTAGATTCACACTGACGGCATCAAAACTGTGAATTAACAAATGCGTAATTATATACACAACAAAAAAGGGTGAAACAACTTAAAATTTGTCATATTCTAAGTAGCCCCCTTCTGCTTTGCACACTCTTGGCATTCTCTTTATGAGCTTCGAGAGGTAGTCACCTGAAATGGGATTCCCTTCACAGGTGTGCCCTGTCAGGTTTAATAAGTGGGATTTTTTTGCTTATAAATGGGGTTGGACCATCAGTTGTGTTGTGCACAAGTCAGGTGGATACACAGCTGATATTCCTACTGAATAGACTGTTAAAATTTGTATTATGGCAAAAAAAAATGGCAGCAAAGTAAAGAAAAAAGAGTGGTCGTCATTACTTGAAGAAATGAAGATCTCTGGTCAGACTGAAAAATTGGGAAAACTTTTAAAGTGTCCCCAGGTGCAGTCACAAAAACCATCAAATGCTACAAAGAAACTGGCTCACATGCGGAGCCCTAGGAAAGGAAGACCAAGAGTCACCACTGTTGCGGAGGATAAGGTCATCTGAGTCACCAGCCTCAGAAATCACAAGTTAAAAGCAGCTCTGAGTAGAGACCAGGTCAATGCCACACAGAGTTCTGGCAGCATCTCTAGAACAACTGTTAAGAGGAGACTTGGTAAATCAGGCCTTCATGGTTGAACATCTGCTAGGAAACCACTGCTAAGGACAGGCAGCAAGCAGAAGAGACTTGTTTGGGCTAAAGAACACAAGGAATGGACATTAGACCAGTGGAAATCTGTGCTTTGGTCTGATAGGTTCAAATTTGAGATCTTTGGTTCCAACCACCGTTTCTTTGTGCGACTCAGAAAAGGTGAACAAATGGACTCTACATGCCTGGTTCCCACCGTGAAGCATGGAGGAGGAGGTGTGATGGTGTGGGGGTGCTTTGCTGGTAACACTGTTGTGGATTTATTCAAAATTGAAGGAATACTGAACCAGCATGCCTCTGCAAGATGCTGTGGCAGCCATGCCATTTCATCCGGTTTGCGTTTAGTTGGACCATCATTTATTTTTAAACAGGACAATGACCCAAACACATCTCTAGGCTGTGTAAGGGCTATTTGACCAAGGAGAGTGATGGGGTGCTGCACCAGATGACCTGGACTCCACAGTCACAGGACCTGAACCCAATCGAGATGGTTTGGGGTGAGCTAGACCGAAGAGTGAAGGCAAAAGGATCAACAAATGCTAAGCATCTCTGGGAACTCCTTCAAGACTGTTGGAAGACCATTTCAGGTGAGTACCTCTTGAAGCTCATCAAGAGAATGCCAAGAGTGTGCCAAGCAGTAATCAAAGCAAAAGGTGGCTACTTTTAAGAACCCAGAATATGACATATTTTCAGTGGTTTCACCCTTTTTTTTTTCACCACATAGCTATGTGTTTTTAATGCATGTTTCATCAGGCAAACGGGCCTTAATTTGCAGGCTAATTTAATATGCTAAAAATTACACGCAGGGTGAAGGCCCATTTGTTTAGGCAGAAATGAAAGCAAAACAGATCTGAGAAAAAAACTTTAAAAGAGAAAATTAAAAACAAAACAAAAGGAAGTAAAAAAAGTGCCATGTGGGAGCGTTTTAGCAAAGTGGTAAATGAAGATGATTCAATTGCTGGGTATTTAATATCAACAGCTGTGAATGGCTTTATGTATATGAAAGTCACAAGACCGGTACCTCAACTATGAAACATCATGTGAATGCTAAATCAAAAGGCCAGTCAAGCCAAAGTCAGACAAGCACATTTAGTTTTCACATTCGTCGGGACAGCAAAAAATACGACTGTAAGTTAAGATTAGTCTCATTGATGCATGTGTGGACCTGTGCTGCCTTATATACGCCCCTTCCATGTTGTCTCTGGCAAGGGATGCGAAGATTTGCTCACTGAATCTGCTGTTAATATCAAACAATCCATGCTGACCTATCATCATATTTATAAAAAGCATGCTTCGCGTAAAGGTCAGGTGCAGATATACTGTATATATATTAGATAAAATTTTATGTGTTTGCGGGTGGATGATTAGTATCAAGCTACAGATTCAGATAACATTTGAACTGATCCGTGCATCTCTAGTATGCATGTATGCATGTATGTATGTATGTATGTGCATACTAAATCACATTGATCTCAACACTAAATTAATCTGTTAAAATTGGAAACCTCCTTTTGTTGTAAACTTTTTCTTAAACATTATGTGAGGTTGTTGTTGTTGTTACATACTTTCGGCATATGGATGAAGTTTTCAAACATGTTCTGTTGCTGCTGTAGACTGTTGAATGTTGAGTTGTTTGCAGTGTTACGCTGTGGATAGAGAGTCAGAAGTGAAGGTTCTTGAACAAGCTGCAGAGTATCACAGAGTTCAGCAGAACAATCCAGCAACAACTGTTCCTCTTCTGGCACTATTCTGCGGCAAAGTTATCTTTATATTTTAATTTTGCAATCATATAAGCACAAATGTGCACTTGTGTACTAGTAAGTGCATGAAATGTCTTCTGTTTTCTTCAGTCTGATCCTTTAGCATACGTCATGGTACCAGACTACTCTATTGGAAGTCTCAGAGCCATTCAGAAATCCTCTCCACTGTTCTCATGTGTGAGTAAATAAAAACTAAACTTTGTACACACACCAGAAGTGGTGAAAATTTATATTTGGGTTTGGAACTAGATGTACCCCTGATATAAAATTAAGGTAAAAATCAATGTGGACACAATGCAATTTTTACCTTATGTTTGCTTTTCAAAACACTATTAGTTGGGTTTAGGTCAGTGGCTCTTTGGTGAACTGCACAACAAGCCCATCTTCCATGGATGTGTACGAGAAGGTCATGTATTTGATATGTACAGCAATGGATTTCAAATTAGCTAAAATGTGGATCTGTCATCTGAAACATGCAATGAAACGGATCTGCATTTGCTACATTTATTACAGTGTGGTCCGTGTATCATCCGTTCATTTGATTATTCCTTTTATTACGGAAAACGAAACATCAGAATAACGATGAATATTTCGTTTTTCTGTTTATTCTGTAGGCAGAAAAAACGGAAACTCATCTGTTATTCTGCTTATTAACTTAAAACGAAATATTAAAACAAACACAAAACCAAAACGAAATAATGAGTCAAAAAATGGTCCGTGTACGTTTTGTTCATTTGTTTTCCATTTTTAAACGGAAAAAGGGAAATGGACAAAACGGCCGTATTTTCGTTTTTCTTTTGCTCACGAGAAAACGAAAAAACGAGATTTTGGCTGAATTTTCGTTTTTTGGTTTAGGGTAGGAAAACGGCATAACGACTTTAAAATTCATTTTACACATGTAGGCGGTGCTGAAACGCCCACTTTCCTCTAATTGGTCAACCAAATCTGCGCTCGTGACGTCTTCCTCAAAATAAAAGCCTTACACGCAGGCTTTTAACTATTATTATTTAATTATATATATAAACAAAGTTTACATATTCTATCATTTGAACCACACACATTTAGCAGGCTTACATTCATTGCGTATGTATAAGTTAAATAAACACGTAAATCAGCAGTATTCTTAGACATTTGTCATTAAAATAAGGTCATAGTTCACTGCCAAGCTTCTTGCTGCTGTGCACCTGATGCTGAGCAAAGAAAGCCATTTCCGAGCAACACCTGGTTTGTATGATTGTTTCAGAGCAAGGGCTTTATAATAATAATAATAATAATAATTATAATTATTATTATTATTATTATTATCACTTACTAGTGTTTTTATTGTTAAGTTTTTTTTTCTTTTTAATAGTTGTTAGCAGAACCAGAATAAGAACACATTGGGCCCTGCTATAAAAACAAAGGGTACCATTTGTTTTTATTTTATTTCTTCCTATTTTAAATATTTATTGTAATTATTTATTTGATAAATAATAGCCTACTATTTTATTGCAACGCCAAAGTAGGCTTGTCTTATTATTTTTTGTAATTTGCTGTTATTGTTATTGTTATTGTAGGCTACATGGCAGGCTTTGCGAAATATTTTAAATAACATTTACTCATAACCTTACTAATTCGATAGCCGAACCTAAAAATGTTTTAGTGCAATAAGCCTGTACAATAAAGTGAGCCGCAATGCATATTTCTAGCGCATTCTCACAACAATTATTGCTGGAATAATGAAATAAATTTCAAATTAACTAATTAAACATATTATAGTTGATAAAAAATAGTGTCTAGTTCCGACAAACAGATGAGCTCGCTGCATGTGCGTTGTGCTAATAATTTGACATTTGCTCTTCTTGAGAAAGTGCTACAGCGGGCCCTGCTATTTCACATACAAGGTTAGTGATAAGTATTTTAAAATAGCATTGCACATTATTCATTCATTTTCTTGTCGACTTAGTCTCTTTACTAATCTGGGGTCGCCACAGCGGAATGAACCGCCAACTTATCCAGCAAGTTTTTACGCAGCGGATGCCCTTCCAGCCACAACCCATCTCTGGGAAACATACACACACACACACACACACACACACACACACACACACACACACACACACACACACTTATACACTACAGACAATTTAGCCTAACCAATTCACCTGTACCGCATGTCTTTGGACTGTGGGGGAAACCGGAGCACCCGGAGGAAACCCACGCGAACGCACTACACTACTGAATTAGAGGACACAATCTCAAAAAAACTTAATGCTTATTTACATTATCTAAAGTCATTTCTTACGAGGTAGGATCTTTTGTTGTATTATATATTTTCGTTTTAATATGCAAATATTTTTTTTTAATTTGTAATAGGCCTTTTGTCCCTCATTGCATAAAATAACCAGCCTTTGTATTCAATATATTTGTAAATTGTCCATCCAGTTTGACGCAAGCTAAACAACATTTTGGCCTGTTTTGCTTATTAAATGAGTGATTTTCACGGAGAAACAAATCATCCATCCACACAGTTTTGTATAGGACCTGTGTGAACAAAAATATACACTTCATCATAGCCTATAGGAAAATGTATCTGTTAAGAACCAATTTTGTTTTGTATAATTAAAAATATTTAAAATACAATAAAAATAAAAAGGAAGAATAACATTTGAAGTGCAATGCTTCAAAATAAGATCCACAATACGCTGCATGCAGCGCCAAAACACAAACTGATTTGTTTGTTTGATAAAATAATAATATGAAATTAAAGTGAAATAGTTCCATAACCTGTATTATAACTGTAGTCACCCTAGAAGACAAATCATCCGTTGCGCCGGTCAGTTTCACCTTTAATCAAGAATGTGCCAGAACCAAATGAGAATATTTACAGATACCTCGGAATGAGACCTCGGTCTGTGAAGGATGCAGAACACAGAAACTCGTTGAGAATGGAGATGCATGTTAGATGTTTTATATCCCTTTAGATATTGTAAATAAACAACAAGTTTTTATAGAGATTGTGTCATGTCTTTTCTTTGACGCACGCGCTGAATAGCCCCGAAAAGGCGCCTTTATTTAGCCTGTAGCCTAAATAATAGTTTAGATTTTATAACATATAATGTTCCATTACTTTAAATGTATAATGTTTTTTTTAACATTTATGGATTATATAAAATATATAGTTTATATAAATGCGCTCTGATCATTCAAGGATCATAATGCGTTGCATATTCTTCTTATTCTTCATTAAGGCTTGATCCGTAAATTGTGCATTTTATAAACTGATCGTTTATAAGGACTAAGCTATTAATAACTGTAATTCCTCGAATGGAAAAGTCTTGATTAAAGAAAAAGAGAACTTATGCATATAGTGCATTCGACATATGCATATAGTGCGCTTATTTCTGCGAGCATTGCGCGCTTTACCGAATTACCTTTTTTATTTTTTATGCACTATAAATGCATCTGGCAGCACCGAAAAGAGCAAATGCCAAGTTATTAGCGCAGCGCACAAACAGCTAGCTCGTCTAGTCTGAACCAGGGGTTTTCAAACTATTCATTGCACACCGATCCCATTGCATTTTATTTAGGATAAACCACTTATTTAAAATTAATTAATTAAAAGGTGCGTACTCTCCAATACACCACTGAATTATAGTGTCATAATATTTAATAATTATAATTAAGATAGACACCTGACCTCCATTTAATAAACAATTTATTTGCCATACTCTGTTAATTTGAAGTTTAAAGTTTAAATCATTTATGTTAAACTTAAATTATTTAAAAACTTAAAAAGACTTAAATTTAGTAATTTAAGACATTTTAGGTCATAAGTTTGCATACATTGACCGTTGCATTTAGTAGGCCTATTCTGGTCTAAATAAGCTTTTTGCATCTTAGGTGTTTACACACACAAATTAAGCAGTTTATACGTACATTTAATGTTACTTTGAAATTACTTTTGATGCAATAAATAATCCTAAATAGTTGAAAGTGTTAACATTCTTGAAATGTAGTTATTTTATAACTATGAAATTTATTACTAAACAAAGTGAATCATTATGAATTTGCCAAGAAATAATCCACTTTACCACTGTAAAGCAATGCCCCACACTCACTAGAACGGTAGAACCTGGACTGTATGATATGTTCTGTATGTAAAATAGAGAAAATAAGCAAGATGCGCAGTCTCATGCAGCCTTAGTGAAATATAGCGCGTCACAGCAATGAACTAAAAATAAAACCACCCTTGAAATGCTGGCGATCTTAATTTTTTCAGCCTACACTGACTGAGAATAATGTTGCACTATTTTATTAACAAATAATTAGAATGTTTTTTTTCCTTCAACACATTCATCATTACTTTTGCCTGGTCAAGTTTTTTGCGCGCGCTTGAGCGCGAAGGTATCTATTTTCAGGTGCAAGATGCCACTTTGGGTGGCACCAGCACACTCTGCCACACCTGTGGCTATGTCCCTGCTACAATAATAATAACAACAACAACGACAAAATAATAACAAAAAATAATAATAATAAGACAGGCCTACTTTGAGGTTGCAATAAAAAAGTATTAATTATCAAATAAATATTTACAATAGGCTAAAGGCATATATTAAATTAAAATAGGAGAAAATCCAATAGAAACAAATGGTACCATTTATAGCCCCATGCAGGTCCAATGTGTTCTTACAACCATTGAATAACTAAGTAAATAAAAACAATACTAATAATAATAGGCCTAATAATAATAATAATAATAATAATAATAATAATAATAATAATAATAAATTATTATTTTATACAGAGTAGGCTATTATTTAGGCCTACAATAGCTCTGAAACAATCATGTAAACCAGGTGCTGCTCGGAAATGGCTTTCTTTGCTCAGCATCAGGTGCACAGCAGCAAGAAGCTTGGCAGTGAACTATGACCTTATTTTAATGACAAATGTCTAAGAATACTGCTGATTTACGTTTTTATTTAATTTATACATACGTAATGAATGTAAGCCTGCTAAATGTGTGTGGTTCAAATGATAGAATATGTAAACGTTGTTTATATATATAATTAAATAATAATAATTAAAAGCCTGCGTGTAAGGCTTTTATTTTGAGGGTGACGTCACGAGCGCAGATTTGGTTAACCAATTAGAGGAAAGTGGGCGTTTCAGCACCGCCTACATGTGTAAAATGAATTTTAAAGTCGTTTATCCGTTTTCCTACCCTAAACCAAAAAAACAAAAATCCAGCCAAAATCTCGTTTTTTCGTTTTCTCGTGAGCAAAAGAAAAACGGAAAAATGGCCGTTTTCTCCATTTCCTTTATTCCGTTTGAAAATGGAAAACAAACGAACAAAACGTACACGGACCATATTTTGACTCATTATTTCGTTTTGGTTTTGTGTTTGTTTTAATATTTCGTTTTAAGTTAATAAGCAGAATAACAGATGAGTTTCCGTTTTTTCTGCCTACAGAATAAACAGAAAAACGAAATATTCATCGTTATTCTGATGTTTCGTTTTCCGTAATAAAAGGAATAATCAAATGAACGGATGATACACGGACCCAGTGTAAATCAGAGGGCGAAGCTAAAGAGAAAATACTGAAAGGCCTGGAACACACCAAGCTGATGGTTGCTATTGTGATTTATTGGGCTGGCTAGTTTGATTAGTGTTATACACGTCACCTTTTATCAGGTTAACGTCGGATCATGTTGGCCTGATTCAGCATTTTTAATTAGTGTTGGGCTTTTGACTAAAGAGCGCGCTCCAACGGATCAGAGCATAACGTAGTGAATTAAACAAATAAAGTCCAGAAGCAACACAAAGAGGCCAGCTGTAATTTTGCTAAATTTTTTCAAGTATTAGCAAACGGTTTGAATTATTAGAATAACAAACCTATTTGCAGGAGTTTTTTTTGGTGTCTTCTTAAATATTTTGCATTATTATTATTAATAATATTATCATTATTAACATTTTTAAAATCTTTTTTTGGTGGTGTAGGAGATCAGGAATGTGATGAAGGGTGTAGCTCTGGGACTGCAGGGTCTTCATGCTGCATCAGTTACTCATGCATCTCTACATCCCAACAATGTGTTTGTCATCGGCCGAGAGAGAGGCATTGTTGGAGATTACGATTTCACTAAGGCACCTGTAAGTGATTCTAATCACGTGGTATTATTTATTTTTATTTATTTATTTATTTTTTTTTTTTTAGGAAAAAGACTAAATGTAAATAGCTTAGACATGTGAAGCCATTTTTACACAGCCAGTTAAAGGCAGCCCTAAAGTGGGTCTGTGTCTGCTCAGATTTTAGTGTAGAGATGGTATGTCACAATAAATGGTTTCTGTAAAGGTTTGTGTAAATTTTGTTTTATTTTTTGCATTTTATGCCGCTTCAGGTTTGGTTTCTGTGCCACTTTACTCTGTAAATATGCCTTAGGGCAGGGGTCTCCAATCTTGGTCCTGGAGGGCCGGTTTCTCTGCAGGGTTTAGCTCCAACTTGCCTGAACACACCTGCCTTGGTGTGTCAAGTATACCTAGAAGCACCTTAATTAGCTTGTTCGGGTGTGTTTGATTAGGGTAGGAGCTAAAATGTGCAGGACACTGGCCCTCCGGCAACAAATTTGGTGACCATTGCCTTAGGGCATGGGTCTCAAACTTAACTTCCGGAGGGCTGCAGTTCTGCACTGTTTTGCTCTAACCCTGATCAAACTAATCAAGGTGTTCAAAAGAGTCTCAAACACCTTAGTTAGTGGCATCTGCTGTGTTTGATTAGGGTTGGAGCAAATCTGTGCATATCTGTGGCTCTCCAGGAATCTAGTTTGGGACCCGTGTGTGTGTGTGTGTGTGTGTGTGTGTGTGTTAGGGATGGGTCGCTACTTTGTTCAAATACTTGTAGTCATATCAGACATGAATGGCAGATACCACGCACCGATACCACTTAACAGTAATTCACTACATGGATGTGATTTTTTTTTATTTATTTATTTATTTTTCTCTACCTGACTTCAGTGTCTCAATATATTAGTTAGCCTAATGTATTATACATAAATAGCTTAGTCCTTATAAACATTCCGTTTATAAATTACATTAATAATGCCTACTGTCCAGCACTGCCCTGTAGGTTTACACACTGCATAGACTATAGGCCCTCTAATGTGTTATGAATTGCTTGTTTTAAATGACAGCGAGACATACTACATTTAGTTTTTATTGTAAAATATACATTATAACCCAGTACACTGTAAATAATTATTTTTTGAATGGCTTGCCTATTGGTGGCGTATATAACCGTTAAGCTAAAATAGGCTAAGCATATTTTAGTTAATATTAAAACACATTAATACAAACTAGCCGCCCTTTAACTTTTTTTCGTTTCTGCATATGTTTATCAAATGAAAAATGCAATGAATTGTTTATTTTGGTTGTCATTTTATTAGAATTAATATAATTATTAGGCGACACAACTTCTACATATCATTGGCTCTGATTATGTTTATACAGATATCCTTCAGATAGACTTTTTGGCTCAAAGACATTTATGCCTGTTAATTTCAGTGCTGTATTTTAATAAATTTCGCAAAGGCTTCAGCTATTCCAACTGTCAGCTGTTACCAGCCTCAGTTTTGCGACTTGACTTGTATGGTGTCTACGTATCGATGTCTGGATGACAGCCAGAGAGATGAGATCAGACCTCAGATTCGATGTGTGGCCGCACGTCACAGTTACTTTACTGCAATTTTCGAATATTGGCTCATAATATTGGCGAATATTGGAAATTAACTTTTCAGTCGATTAAAAGCTGAAATATTGCCAGACAGATGAAGAAACTTTCAGTTTTTGAAAAGAGCAGCTTCAGTGATAAAAGACGCTCACACACAAACACACACACACACACACAGTACACTCTTGTACGGCTATTCATTATTGATTTTTTAACATTAAACGCATAATAATCAAGTGCAAAAAAATAAGAGCTGAACTTGGCAAAAAAAGTTATTACTGCGGTTGCTGCAATGGTTGCCTTGTTTCTTTGCAGTTGACGTGTCAGTGCTAAATCAACTTTGTTTTAATGAAAAATATGATTATTTATTATTAAACATTGTGAGATGCTGGTCATGTGATTTTTAAAATAAGAGTAGGTGTATGGGTTGCGTATTTATGGCTATTAATCTTACCTACCCGCGACCAACCCATAGTTAAACATCAAGTATAGCCAACTTTTTGATTACCTGACCAGCGGATTAACGGCAGGACTCGTGAATATGATAGGGTTGGAAAGAATCACGTATAACAGGGTTTTATGCGTCCCAAATATGCAATGCCAAGTGAGTGACTCCATAAGGTAATGTACACTGCACACACTTTGTGTAATGTGTAAAGTCGTGGACGGATGTCAGGATAACTAGTCCTTTAAATGTCCTTGCTGAATCATTAATAGATAAGGTCTGAATTTGCTGGGTTATTAACAATGTGTCTATATTTTTGGCTTGGAACAGCCTTCTGTTTAAAGATTTTTGTGTTCATCCTTGCTACAATAAATAAATAAATAAATAAAAAAACGAACAAATAAACTTCATTGAAACCAAATCTATCAAGTATCGCTACATGATATCGGCGAGTACACAAATTAAAATACTTGTACTCTTTTCGGTTCGTAAAAAAGTGGTATCGTTGCATCCCTAATATATGCATTGGATTAGCATATGGAATTCATTTACAAATGTGGTTATGTATAGTAATTCTCTTTTATTATATAGCACTCTTTTATTTATGATTATTTAAGGGGCGAGACAGAATGGTAATGCAAGTTCACACAATGCTCCTCTGACTAAGGGAAATTGTGACAGGTCCTGGTAAACTATTTTAAAAATCTAAAAACTTTTGTGTGTACCTAAAATCTGATTTGGTAACATAAAGTTGAAGGCAAAATGATTAGCCCTCTGGTGAATCTGTTATTAAAATATTTACCAAGGGATGATTTTTTTTTCTTTCTTTTTTTTTTTTTTCTTCAAATAATGTTTTTACAAATCATAAGACCATTTTAAGGTCAATATTATTAGCCTCCTAAAGATTTTTTTAATTAGCTTGAGAACAAACAACTGTTGTCCAATGACCTAATAACCTAACTAGTTAAGCTTTTAAATTAAATTTTCAGCTGAATACTAGTATCATGCAAAATAAAGAGTAGAATATTATGTACTGTCCTCATGGCAAACATAAAAGAAATTTGTCCTTTAAAATTAATTAAAGAGCCCGTATTATGTTTTAAAAATAGTCATATTTTGATTTTGGTGGTCTCCAACAACAGGCTGATGTGCATGCAGGAGTCAAAAAACACTTTCATTATCTTATAATATGCATTTAATTTTACCTAATTATCCAAATGACTCCCATATGATTCGTTCAGTGATTAATTTGTTCCCAAACCCTTCCTTAGCGCGATGCTAATCTGTGCTGATTGGTCCAATGACCCAATCTGTTGTAATTGCATGACTGTGTTCAGCGTTAGACAGAGAAATACCCAGCATGGCTTATCAACAATTTTGGAGTAGTCAGAGTGCAAAGTGAATGTGAGAGCCCAGTGCAGGAGTGCATTAAAGCAATTCCCTTAAACACCAGCATATTGCTCTATTCTTAACCACAAGTAAAAACAGTAACACACATTAAGTGTTAATTCACACAGCCGCAAAAGCCAAACTATTTTAAAACTTGACCGCCACACATGTGTTGGAACAGCTGACGGTGGCAACAGTAATGACAAACGGCAGTGGATCGCCGGCTCACAAACGCATTTAAATCTGTAAACAAAGTGGCATGCCTCGTGTTTTCAATGTGGTTTTTGACGCGTTATGAGAATATAAAGACATAACCTGATACAGTACAAGTTACAAAGTAACAAAACAGAATTAAATTCATAACTTGCAAGCTAGAGAAATTAAGGAGGCAACCATTTTAATCGCACTTAGGTTACTTACACTTGTGAAATGGAAGAAGTAACTGATCCATGAACTATGTACTGTATCTGCTAAAGTGTTTGTCGACGGAGCTGTGGGTTTCAATTTTCCCAGGTCTGCCTATACAACAAACGTGCGGGGCTTAAGTTCTGTATCAATGTCACGCCAACATGGCTAAAGACTTGTTACATTGGCGATTCATTCAAACCACTATGAGTCAACGATTTTAAATATGAATCAACAGTTTTAAACACGGCATTTCAGATTTAAGCCTTAGCTGGATATTTCACTTCACCTAGAGCTGTGTTACTCACTGCATGGAAAGTCATTTTCAAAATCCCATAATAGGGGCTCTTTTAAACTATTGTTTTATGGAACATAATGTCTGGAAAAAAATCTTCTCTTCGTTAAGCATCACTTGGGAAATATTTTTAAAAGACATAATTTACATTCAACTTTAATCTAATTTTTTCAAAATGTGTTTGTTAATACTTTTTTGTATAGGAGCAGAGGGTGTGTGACAGTGGAATGATTGCTGGTTTCATCAGTCTGGTGGCTCCAGAGGTAAAGCAGGGTCAACCACCTTCCCCATCCAGTGATATGTATGCTTTTGGAGGCATCATGCTCTGGGTAAAATCATTATTTACATATTTTTTTAAATTCTTGCTTACTAGCTTACTAGTATACTGTCCTTTTTATGTATTGTGATATTTATAATTTACAACATAAATCATGGTTTCTAAAAAGTTGCATGGATTTATATAAAATATATATATATATATATATATATATATATATATGTATGTATGTATATATATATGTATGTATGTATGTATATAAATATATGTATATATATTAGCGCTGTCAAAATGAACGCATTAACGCATGCGATTAATTTGAAATAATTAGCTCGTTATAAAAAATTTACGCAGTTTTTTTTCTTTTCTTTTTTTTTCTTTTTTTTTTTCCCTGTTGTGTTCCCGCTGTTTATACGTACTTTTTGGGCCCGGCTGATCATCCTCTTATGATCTGACCGGCCCATAAAACACTCAGCAGACTGTCATGTCTTTCTGCCTCAACGATTGACAGTGCTGTGAGCTGTCTGTCACGCTCTGAAATTAAGATGTTTCTTTTCCGGACAGAGCCGGGTCACATAATCCGCAGCCCATTGGTTCTTTTCTTTATTGACATTGGGCTGACCCAATCACAATCTTCCATGTTTGGGCTCTGTGTAACGTAGGTGTGTATTTGTCAAAATAGCCGAGAGTCCCGCCTGTTTCTTACGCGCGGGTTCGCGCCGCGGGGAGCAGGCCTTTGCGTCTGCACTCTCCAGCAGGGCACAGATCAATATATTCCTGTCTATTCTATCTAGTTACCTATCTGTCCATATACATATACTTTTTAAAACTTTTAATCTGCACCACGGCCGCGGCAAATTCCTCCTGTAATGCTGTTTCCTTAACCTGCAAGTCTTTATTTTACAAATGATAAAGAATGTCCGCTTCTCAAGCTCTATGAAGGGTGTCATTCATGTATTTTAAGGTGCACTCGGTCAGAAGAAAAGCGCAGGAGATATCATGACATTGTGTTTTTGATCATCAGCATGATGTAGGCTTATAGTGACAATAATATTTATACAATATGTTTAATATATTGATATTTATACATGACCAAACTAGTGTGCAACTTTTACATTTAGTTTTGTAGTTCTGCCCAAACAAATATTTGTTGCATTTTTTAATTGTTTAAGTTCGTTTGATTGACAATGTAAAAGCTGTTAGCTACAGTTGATGCTTCATTGTTGAGTTAAACATGTTTTTTAAGGGTCTCTGACACATTGCTTTTATTATTTATCTTTATTTTATTAATCAACGTTAACTGTGTGCGTCAGCAGGCAGTTTTTGTTATGCTCATTATTTTCTAGGCCCCCTCAAAACACAGGCACCCACATTTCCAGTGTGGATTATAATTTTATTTTAATAATAAATAAAAAAATGTAGTTTTTTAATTTGTCAACTCTCATTATTTCCTATATATGGCTTTTGTGCTTTTATAGAATGGGAGTTGGTAAACATATTCAAGGGCGTGCACAGACTTTATTATTATTATTATAATTTTCTATATCTGCAATGCCTGTATTTTGGCATTTTTTCGCAGTCCACTTAGAATCCAATATGGAAATCAATGTTTTCTTTATTGGCATTGATTGTTTTGAAATTCAAATGGCATTAACATGTGTTTTTATTTCTGTAATAAATATGGCTGTCAAGCCAGGATCTTGATGGTTTATTGTGGGTATGTTGTTTACATGAAGAAATCTCTGTTACAAGTAAACAAAAATTCTTATAATGAATTATATTTTGAATTTAAATAGTATTTGTCTTGCTTTTACATTAATTTTACACTCGAATAGCCAAAATTACAAGTTTCAGTCTTTTAAATGCGATTAATCATGATTAATCGCGATTACATTTTTTTTGAAGTGCGATTAATTAGTTAATTTTTTTTAATCGATTGACAGCACTAATATATATATATATATATATATATATATATATATATATATATATTTTTTATTTTATTTTATTTTATTTTTTTTACAAAAATCATTGTAATATTTACATTTTATAAAATAAATCCCTATTTTGTTACCGTTGCGTAGTTTATTATTGTTTTATTATTTTATTTGTGCTTAACTGTTTATTGTATTTTTTGTTTATTATTGTAAATAGACTTAAATTAGAAGGCAACTTCTAGTATATGAAATATATTTATTTGTACAATACATTCTTCGATTTTATACAATAAAATTCAAATTTATAAATAAATGTAAAAAATATATAGTGTATGAATTATCAGATTTGTACAGTGTATGTAAATATATAATTAAAGCATTATTTTATATGTAATAAAATGTATTATGTAATATGTAATTAGACAACTTATGTAATATTAGAAACAAAATTATTTTTAAATAGTATTTTTTAAAAGTACACATTTTGTATAAAATATAATTATAAAAAGTAATGAATAGTCATGCATTTTGTTGTTTTCATATTTGACACATACATTTTTTGTATTTATAAGTATATTTAAAAATAACAGTGTGCTGTAAATATTTGACATATAGGAAATTGCATACTGTATATTATCTAATGATTAATTAGAAAAATAAAAAAATGATGTCTTTAAAAAACTACTTAATTTCTATTATGAAATGTTTTATTTTGTCAATTATCACACCCCCTAGTTATTCCTGATTCCTCGATCGCTGAATCCAACTTAAAATCAACAAAAAGTCGCACATTTTTACAATCCTGCAAAATTAATTTAAATCTCATAAAACATGAAACTCCAAACCATTTAATCAATTTTAGTCAAATTTAATTTTATTTATTTCAGTTTGCAATTAATTGTTTTACATGACTTTTAAAGAGGTTGCATACGCAGCACATGTGATGTAGTTGAGTGTCTCAAAAAGCATTGCATTACATTACATGGAGGGGGGGTTTCAGCTTGTGCAGTAAGCAGATGAAGATGATGCCTATGAAGTCATAGCAAATATGAAAAAAAGACATCCTGTGGAGTGATTTGGGCAATTTGTGCATTTGACGCGCTTCAGACTGCAAAAGTTGAAGCAAACATCTAACAAATGGAACATTGGAACAAACAGATAGAGATTGGTCCACGGATGATGGCTGCTGGACTTGACTGAGTTGAAGGACATTATTTGTGCTTTACACATATGGCTGGTGTTATGATGTGCGTCAAATCAACAAATTATTTTGTATTATTTGGTATTTACTCTATCCCTGTAGTTAACAAGGAAAAAAAATTACTTGCCATTGACGAGTTTTACGGCTATCCGTGCTTTAGATGTATTATGGTAGAGGAACCCCTAACACATGTCCTGAGTGAGGTAAATGATGTCAGATGATCCAGAGAGTGAAATCAGAGAGTGAAGTTAGATCGTGGATAAAATAAGAGTTATACAAACTTCCTTTGGCCTAATCCCTACCGTTTAGATCTTGTGTTTTATGATTTGTGTCATTGTCATCGGCTCAGATTGCACACTCAGATTGCACATAGTAGGTTACCTAATATGGTAAATAAAAAATTATTCTTCTTATTTGTTCACAGCTGCATTTTCAAGACTTCAACGGAGCCCTAGATACTCAGAATGTAGACTTCACTGGTTTGGAGATGGTATGTTGAAAACAAAAGCTGACTAATATAAAATAAAATAAATACTCTAGTTTTTGAGTCATCTAATACAGTATGTCTCTGACAGAATGTGAAATTGCAAGCTCTCCTCTCAAAACTACTGTTGTCCTCTACAAGACTGTCTGCTTCCGAGGCCCTAAAACAAGACTACTTCATCTCAGATGATATGTAAACCCAAATGTGTTTGTGGTTGCGTTCTTTGAATTTTTTGTTTAGAATTTGTCTGTATAAAAAAAACCCAGAGGTATTTGTTTGTTTGTTCCTTATATCCGGTTTAATGTTCCTGGAATAAAAAATACAACAAAAACATTCAAAAGACGAAATAAATCTTTTTTGTGAATAGTCAGTAATTGATTTTTCCAGTTTGTTATGCTTTGTCCTGTTCCGGCAGCAATCAGCAAAACGTGAAAAGCTGTCAAATGTCATTTCTGTCACTGACTGAAATGCTCTGCTTTGAATTTGTATATCTTTCTGTGCTTTTTTTTTTTTAACAAGGTTTATTAAAAATTCACTTATAAATGTATTGCAAAATTATTTTGAAAAACTCTTTGTAATGGCAGTGAATCCTTACTAGTGCTCAAATTCTTTCAGCAATTTGCAACTCAACAAATTTCCCATTACCATTCACATGGCTAGGGTTGCACCAGTTGTTCATTCTTAAACTGAAACGATAAGTCCACACTAGGGGCTTAGTAACTACTAGCTAGTTTGTAACCAAATTTGTTCTTACTTCCGTTGCAACACATGCTCTTAAGGCAAACTGTAGTTAGTAGATTGTAAGCACTCCGTAAAGTCATGCTTAGTCGTGTTGAATGATGTGTTATCCAAATAAAAAGCATCTAAATCGTTAAACTGCTTCAAAATTTTGCAACTATTGCATCTATATATAAATAAATTATAAATCACATTTTTATAGCACTTCTTTACATTACAGTCAGTCACTAATAACAGACGATGCACACATCTGCATCTCGAACTGTGAATACATGCGAAATTGAATGCACACGAAGTTATCAAAACATTAAACTTTTATTTTTTTATATATCCTACTCTTGAAAGAAAAAAGAGCTGGAAGAAAAACTGTTATGAAGAAATTCTCATTTTAATTGATGGATACAATAAACACAAAACATTCTTCATTATGATCACGAGCTGCGTAACGTAAACTAATCTCATTGTTGTCTCTTTTCTACCATTTTACATGAAGGGCATGCTGCCGTAAATATTTAGTTGGACCGTAGTGTTACGTTTAAACTAAGTTCAGTAGTGCAACACAAACATTTAGTACTGTGTTTGTTTTAACTTAGTGTCCCTTTAAGTCACAACTAGGCTGCGTTTTAACTTGCACACTGCTGGTGCAACAGGCCCATGAAATTGAACCTTTTCTTGTTATTCACAGATTTTTTTTATCATTGTTATTTTTTTATTTACAAATCAGGCCAAACATTGATGAAAGGTACCATTTATGCCACTTATTGGAGTTTTCTGGGAAAAATAACAAAACGGGAGGGTGGCTGGAGATTAGTCTGTGTTGTCTGTGCCTCCTGTAAAGTTAGGAGTAGATCATCTGCATTTGTGATAAAAGAATTATCCCAAACATAATAGAAGATTGACAGCAAAATGATGTTCTGTGTTTTTCAAGGAAGATAGTTAACTGTATTTACAGTGAAGGGAGGAAAATTTAAATTCCTGGACCATAACCACATCTGTACCTCTGAGAAAAAGGAAGCACTGCGTCACAATGAAAAGCATTAAGGATAGTTCACCCACAAATGAAAATTTACTCACCAAGTCACCATTACTGACCCTCAACCAGTAATGACGCTCTGAACCTGAGTAGTTCCAGATCTTTATGAGTGTTCTCTGTCTAACACAAAAAGATTATTCAAGACCTTTTGACAAATGTTAGAAGTATGAAACACAAATACTATGGAATTTAATGTTTAAAGGTTCCAATATTTTTTTAAATAAATTACATCTTGTGACTAACAAAAGTCAAACAATGAAAGAATTAATGTGTGAACTATTCCTTTGGTTTCCATTAAAAATAATTTTTCATAAAACTTCATTTAATTTTCTCTGTCCTCTATTTTTTATTTGAATTGTCTCTTTTTAGATTTAAGAAAATGTCTACTTGGTGTTGCTAGTTTTTTTCATCCACAAAAGTAATGCCAGTGGTATCCAGAGAGTGGCAGTGTTGCAGCTTTGGCCCTTACATGTTCTGTACATTATAATATGTTGATGAATTAAAAGCATTGCAAAAATGATCAATCATTAAATCTTAATAAAAGTAGCAACACAACATTTATAACTCATAAATAAATTCTTACATTTTAATTAAACATTTTCTGCTTTTTAAATATTTTTAACACATTACTTTTTGTTAATTGTTAAAATGTTAAAGAATTACATTTAAGTTAGTGTGGAATAAGTCAAGGTATGGAGCTAATAACATGCCAAACCAATCTGAATTTGAATTGTGTTATTTGAATTATTGATAAAAGTAGTTTAATAAATCAGAATTTTTACATGCCATTTTAAATTGTTTTGAATTTGAATTTCTTATTAACACAATTCAAATTCAGATTGTTTTGGCATATTATTAGCTCCATATCAAAGTTTAAAAAAAAAGCCAAAAGATTTTTTTTCTAACAATTATTTAAATGAATTATATATATATATATATAGTTTTTTATGCTCTAAGTTCATTAACGCAGAATGAAGGGAGTGAGTGTAAAGAAAGTGAAAGAGCTGGTGCTGCTCTCTACTGGACAGCTAACAGAAAATTGAAGACGTCACGTCCCCAAAAGATGTCATATTTAATTTATTCCTGTCATATATAATATTTTACTATAGATTAATGTGTGATATTATTATTGTAAACAGAGTATTTCATGAAAATGGTGGCTAAGTTGATAAATGCTTATACATATCCAATCGTTTCCTGATAGATTATTATAAACTTATATAAATTATATCTCTAAATATAAAACTGTAGAATTCAGAATTAAGTTATATATATATATATATATATATATATATATATATATATATATATATCTTATAGATATGGTCATACAAACCCTTAATCTTAAATGAGCAAGTTACTAATGGGGCGGAGAAATGACATAATCGTCCCACGTATTTCACAAATGAGTCGCACATGCACTACTATTATACAGGAATAGAACGGACGGTAGGCGTGTTCTTCTGCATCTCATACCTCCGATTGGTCGTTGCTCTCGGGCGTCAACGAAAAGGGCAGGTCCGTGCGTCTTGACTGACATAGGGAGCACTAGAGAGGATAAGTGTCTTGTTCTGTCTGCTTGGGAAATTTATGGGGCTTTAAATTCTCACAGGGACACGGATTCATCAAAGGGGGACTGCGAGGTACGTCTTGAGCTTTATGAATTATTTGAGGCTATAGGTGCGGTTGTTTGTATGAGCAGGGCTCTACACGTGGATGTCTGTGCAGCTGTCTCACACTGGGGACACTTTTGATTGGAGCGCTAACCAGCTAAATCCAGTTAGCAGTCTAATAATAAACAGCTGATTGCTGCTAGCACTCCGCGGCTACACTGGTTAAGCTAACTGTTGAAAGCAGTTCAAGGCATGAATGAAAGAACTGCGAAAATCAGCAGCACGAACTCGCAATGTAAACTTTATATTCTTTGGGCAATCGAGTTTGGTTTGTAAAAGCTGTAGTAGCACTGAGCGCGAGCAATGTGCTCTTTGCGTCCCACGCGCTGCGCTTTTCCTTGAAGTTGAATGGGCCGCACGTGCGCTCGTGTTGCCATCATAAAAATCTCCGGCGTGTTACGTACTGTCCAGAGTGACTGGAAACGTTAACTGGAGGCAGGTTTTTTTTTTTACTAGAACAGAACAGATTAACAAAACATGGCACTTCCAGGACAGTCAACCGTAGCAAGAATGCGCGAGTGAATTTAATGTAACAATGAGAGCAGCCCAATTCAACACGGTCATATAGCTTTGGTGCGTTATAACTCATTTACAACACCGTACAAAGGTATTTTTAAATTTGTTCTGCATTTGCTTGCTGCTAAGTACTGTTAAAGTGGGTCATTATACATCTAAATCGCAAAACAGACCCCAGGAGTCAGGCATATTTAAAGGGATAGTTCACCCAAAAAAATGAAAGTAGTTCATTTACTCATCCTCCACTACTTCCAAACCTGGTTGAGATCATTTGTTTGAACGCTAAAGATGATGTACTGAATAATGTAAAGAAGCACGTTAAAAGAAAAACACTGAATAATGCACAGCTCTAATTTGTTCATCGTCTAACTACAATCAAAAATTGCATACATTTTCTAAGGAAAATACGCACATGCGCGTTTTGCCTTCTTAAGTTTTATCTGGCGGTTGGCAAATCACGTTTTACCTTCATCACACAGGACAAATGAAAAGGAAAAAAATGAATTTTAATGCACAGTAAATTTAAGTTTGATGGTTCGCTAAGTTCTGATAATACTTAGTTTGAAAAAATCTGACTATTGTGGAAATATGCAGATGGAAGACTGACTTTTTATACTACCTAGCTTTTAAACAACATATACTTAAACAAAATTACTTCTAAAATAACTTTTTTAATACAATTGGTACACTTTCAGGTGTTTTAATGGCAGTGATTATGGTTCTTAATAAGAACAATAAAACATGTTTTTATAGTGCACTATGAAATAATAAATATAGTCCCTTTAATGAGGGGTCACCACAGTGGAATGAACCGCCAATTCATCCGGCATTTGTTTTATGCAGCAGATGCCATTCACACACAGACACTACAGATAATTTAACTTAACCAAAACACCTAGTGCGCATGTCTTTGGATCCCAGAGAGCAGTTCACACCGGACAGTTCATTAAGGATGTACCACTGGATAACGTCTTGCTATAGTAGTTGAACATGATATTTAATTAATCTTGTCTCTATCTAACAATTCTTCGGTCTTTTAAATCAATCAGGTAACATGTCACAGCGTCAGTACACTGCTTCAATCTTTTGCTTTCACACTTTGAAATTTTAGCAAAAACCTCTGATACTGTTAGTAGTGCACCATTTACCAACCAAATTTGTCGACAGCATTAAAACGACACAGATCACTCTGCCTATTCATGCCAGAGTCCCATTGTGTAATCCCATTGGGTAATTTGTGTGTAACTTATCTTTATTTATTCAATTCAGCTTTATTTGTATATCGCTTTTAGCGATATACAAATAAGCAGCTTCACATAAATGGTCATAGTAACTGGAACAGTGTAGTTCAGTTTTTAGTGTTTAAGTTCAGTTCAGTTTAGCTCAGTTCAGTGTGATTTGAAATCATTACTGAGAGTCCAAACACTGAAGAGCAAATTCATCGATGCGTAGCTCTACCAATCCTGAACCATGCGAGCCAGTGGCGACAGCGGAGAGGGAAAAAAAACTTCACCAATAGGAGAGTGAAGGGAAAAAAATGGGTATGAGTGAAACAAAGACCATGCAGGGCAGGTAGTTGAAGCGGTAGGCTACAAATAATTAATTTGTCATGATACTTCGTTCTTATTAGTAAATACATTACCTACTGTAACCTTATTGTAAAGTGTGACTATTAAATAGATTGTTCACTTCAGAATGAAAGTTTACTCACCCTGAAGTAGTTTTAAACCTGTTTTTCATGAGTTTATTTTTCTGCTGAACACAAAAGAAGATATTTAGAAAACAATGAACAGAATCATTGAGATTTATAGTACAGTAAGAAGAATAATTGCCAGTGGTTTCCAACCACTGTTTTTATTTTATGTTTTATTCGACAGAAGAAAGAAATCAAATAGATTTGGATAAGTGGAAGACGAGTAAATTGTGACTTTTTAGGCAAACTAGTTTTTTAATTCATTGCAGTTGTTTGAAAACAAACGTCTGAGGAAACATTTTATGTTGATAAGTTTGTTTCTGAATTAAAGCCTCTATAATATGCTCCTCTACTTTGAAACACCTTGGCCTAGTTACATACTCCCCAGCCTTTTGGCCTCAGGCTATTCGTGTGAACATTTTATTCTACGTCAGACACTGCAGAAAACACATTGTGTACTATGATTCAAAGCAAAACACACAAGACCAAGTCAGAGTGTGACACTGCTTGCTTGAAATTGCCAAGATACTGCTGGGGCTGGATTCACAATGCATTCTTGAGAAAAAAATTCTTCTTGACTGCCATTGCTTCCTGTTTTTTAACTTAGGAAAAGAGTTAAGTGTTTTTTATATATATATATATATATATATATATATATATATATATATATATATATATATATATATATATATATATATATATATATATATATATATATATATATATATATAATCTTAATGTTCTTGCCTTTTTTAGATTAAGAAAAAACATTAATTTAATTCTTGAAAATAAAATACTTAAAACAAGGTAAAGTTAAAATTACTGACCACTAGTAATGCTTTTTTGTTTAAATATGAAGCATAATATTATAAAATTAATAATGTAAAAGCATGAAATTTTGGTTTAAATTAGCCCTCTTGGCTTGTTAGATGTTTGTGTTCCAGAGTGAAATGCTTGACTGGTGTTTCCCATCTCCAGTCCGCAGGACCTCTCTGGCTGCACATTTTGCATTTCTCTCTTATTTGACACACGAGAATCAGTTCATAGATCTTGCTGTTTACGAGCTGATGATCCGTATCAGGTTTTTTAAGTAGGGAATGCATACAAAATGTGCAGGGTAAAGGTGTTAAGGACTAGAATTGTGAACCACTGCTTTAGAGAACGTCTTGCCTTGTCTTTTTTGTCATTCATTTCCAATTAGCTGAGAATTTTATGCTTTCCTGCAATTTTATTTTCTTTTGATGGTTAATTTCATTAAACAAACCCATCTCACACACTTTACATTTAAAAACTTGACCAAGGTGTGGCTGCTACTTTAAAACAGTGATAAAATAATATGGCTGTTTTACATACAACTTTTTTTTCAATATCTTCTTTTGTGTGCAACAGAAGAAATATAACAGAACTTTTTTTTTTAAAAATTATGAGTTCGACCCCTGGTGATTGTCATAAAGTTTTGACTTTAAAAATCTTATTTAGACTCCAAAAATGTAGCCTTTGTTTATGATATTGGTTTCAAATAATGTGATTGCAATCATGGATATAATTTTTTAGGAGATCCCTTTTTACATAAAAGGCCCCCTCTAATGTTAGAAAGGTATACCGTTGTCTTGCCTTTCGAGCAAAGACTTGATCTCATAAGGACTCTTAATCAGATTAAACTTCCACGTTCATTCTTAACATGTTTTATTCACTTGCTGAGGCACTCATGGTAGTGTTTAACTTTTTTTGTCTTTTTATTTATTTATTTTTTTACCAATTGGAGTCTTGGAGTATCCACTTTGTTACTTAAACTTGGACTTGGTAGCTCACTTTTTACAGGGTTGTACATGAGAAACTGAGCATTCAGTTTCTGCTTTTGAAAATATTATTAGATTTAGGGAACGGTTTTGTTCTCCAGTTTCTAGTCTAGGTGATCTGTACAAGAAGCTCTGCTTTCCAGTGGAAGAGTACAAGAAGATGTATATGAGACTTGCAACTAAATGTACCCTCCTAATTAACCTATTTCAGAGTTACAAAAATGTAGACAGCGCCCTCTAGTGGATTTGCCATCTGAAATGTGCAACATAACCTATCCAGCACAATGCACTTTATCTTTAGCAAAAATATAGGCTGAGGCACGTACAGGTGTTGGACAATGAAACTGAAACACTGGCCACTTTAGTGTTGGAGGTTTCATGGTTAAATTTGACCAGCCTGCTGACCAATCCTCAATTGCTCATTGGGTAAGAGCAGAGCATTTAATTAGTAGATTAATAGCACAGTTTTGCTTAAAATATTGCAATCCACGCAACATTATGGGTGACATATCTGAGCTCATAGGAAGGCAAATTGTTAGTGCACGTCTCGCTGGGTCAATATAGATGGCCGGGCTGCTATAGCTAAGTCTTTGGTCACTTGTGCCAATGCCAAATGTCAGTTTCCATTGTGCCAGCAGCAAAAAGCTTGGGCTGTGGACAAAGTGAAATGTATCGTTCTCTGAGTACACATTCACTGTCTTCATCGCATTCCTGGAGAGTTGCGGTTTGGAGAAGCTTAAAAGAAGCCTATTGTTTCATTCTCAGAGTAGAGCATGAGGGTGGATCACTGATGCTTTGTGGTGCTATGTTCTGGCATATGTTTTACACAGTGGATGCCCTTCCAGCTGCAAAGACGATATAGAAAAGAGATGGATAGATTTCGATTTGATTTGCGACTTAATTTTTTATTCAAGTTTCAGCTCAAAGTGTATCGTATCTTCTTACTGATAAAATGCAATGAGTGGTATATAAAGAAGCAACTGAAGACATTAAGGAACACTAACATTTATTCAAATTGTTTTTAAAATGAATAAAACACTCTTCTTTTGAGTAAACACAAATGAAATGACCTTGCCTTTCTGCAAACAATCCCTTTATTAATCTGGGGTTGCCACAGCGAAATGAACCGCCAACTTATCCAGCACGTTTTTATGCAGCGGATGCCCTTCCAGCCGCAACCCATCTTTGGGAAACATATACATACACACACACACACACACACTCACTCACTCTCATACACTATGGACAATTTAGCCTACCCAATTCACCTGTACCGCATGTCTTTGGACTGTGCGGTAAACCGGAGCACCTGGAGGAAACCCACACGAACACAGGGAAAACATGCGAACTCCACACAGAAAAGCCAACTGAGCCAAGGTTTGACCCAGCGACCTTCTTGCTGTGAGGTGACAGCAATACCTACTGGGCCACTGCGTCGCCATTATACAAACAAAATAATAATATTTATAAAAGTACAGAACGCTCCGCAAACTAATATGGCTGAAACAACTCTAAATTTGCATTTTGTTGTCGCTTGCTAGATTGAGTGTCTGGCAATATTTTCAATTGACTTTTGCAGGACGCTTCTCAAATAGCTGGCTGTGGTGAATTTTCTTTTATATGTGCTGGTTGTTGTATTTCCTTGTGCTGTGGCAACAATTCTTACAAATGACCTGTTTTTCTTGAGTGTATGTGTCTTTGAAACCAAAATATTCCCATATTACCGATGTCCTGTTTTGCTTTGATGTAAATGTGTCTATTAATGTCCCCTGAAGCAGCAAAAGCCATCTTCCCACTAGTCTGCACTTTCCTTTTTGTTTGTTTTTTTATTGTGGGCATTTTGCAAAGTTTGGTCACACAATTCTGATTGGGTAGGATGAATGTGCTCACTAAATTGGCTAAAAAGTCTTTTACACACAGAGGGCGATCACATTTGCTTTGGGCGGGGGAAATTATACAATACATATCTGTTCCATATTGCAGCCTCTTGCGAATATTTTTTTTTCTTTTTTTTAGGCTGATCACAACTTTTCAAATCATGATTGCGATTTAGATTGCAAAACCCAACATTACACTGAACTTCAACAGTGACATTTATACTAAACTTAGAGTTTACTTGGAGTAAACT